AACTTCCAGTCTCTTCCAATCGCACCATCTATTTTGTTACATTTTGGGCCATTTGTATAGATGTTTCAATGACGCGATTTTCGTTTCGCTGTTGCTCGAAGTAATTTCGCACTACGCCATGTATTACTGGCTAACCATTCAGGTGTCACAGTAATATACTAAATGTAGACTACTCTGCGGAAAGTGACATGAATATTTGTTATTCTGGATGAAAAACAAATCACAGTGAACTATCTAAAAGATGGACATCCTTGAGACAAGTTCTAGCTGTCCTTCTTATTAGTAGTAAGTAAAAATGTATTGAAGCTACAGTTGTTAATCTTTTGGACTTTTCGAAAGAACCATCGCTTTGTCTTCCACCTTTTCGGTTATTTTCAATTTTCCTGTGACATTTATCTTTACTCTGGCTAGTGTCATAAAATGTAAGTCAATAAATCTAGACCGAACTGTATTGACAAACAGCATTCTGAAGGAATGCATTTCAGGAAGAAATATCGGGAACATATTTACCATAATCAACGGTATTTGTTAGAAAACCAGATATGACACAACGTTATATGGAAAACACAGATTAAATATATTTAACAAGATACAGAAGGAGATGGAAGTAAAATTGAACTAACAATTTTCAATGCTTGTTACCTCGACTTTCTTTCCACCTTGATTGACAACATCATTTCCGAAATTAACGATATAAGCCCTTCTTTGTTTCCTGTTTAGATGATTATTTTCCCGTTTCAGGACTGAGCTCGGTCAATAAAATTAATGGCATGGCGTGTTCACAGCACTCACTCACTCAGTTTTCCCTATTCCCTACATCAATCAATCAATAAAACACAACTTTCCACTGGTAAATGGGGCACTGGTTGCTGCACCGGATTAGCTGTACCTGGTTAGCCCAGCATCAAGTGAGGAACAGCCCCCGTTTAATGATAACTTCAGATAAGCTTAGATAGTGTACGTTATATGAAACTGAACAAATACATTAAAAACTAGTGTGCCTGCTGCCCGCTAGGAAAAACCCCCTTTTCTTTAGGAGGA